GCCAAGATTTTCACGCCCTTGCGCCCCGCGACTGGCGGGAACCGGGATTTTGCAGAGCACCTGCCTAGAAGGCGAGGGAATCCCGGTTTCTGGTGCCTCCCGCGCCCTCGCTCGGGACGCCTTCGCAAAATCGCCCAGAAAGCACGGAGGTGGGGTGCGCGCAGGGCCACAGGGGATCCGTGCGCGGAGCCTATTGGCTACACAGTCGGACTTGATTGGAGAGGACACGCGGGAGGACCCAAGACCCTTCCGAAGGCCACATTGCCATTGGAGCGTAAGAAGCCACATGTCGCGAGGCACAGGACACAAGGGTACCCTTGAGCAGGCAGGGTCGACCTACTAATCTGGGCCGACTGTACTGTTTGCGAAGACCTTCCGTTGGGCACCCCGCCCCCGCGGGCCCCCGCGACGAGCGACCGCCGGGATGGCGGGAACCGGAATGTTCGAGAGATCGAGGCCGGATACACCCGAAATCCTGGTTCCTGGCCCTGTCAGGCGCCCCGAACCCCCGCGCCCACGAGCGGCGACCGCCGGGATGGCGGGAACCGGGATTTTGAGAGATCGAACCTGGATAAACCCGAAATCCCGGATCCCAGCTCTGATCAGGCGCCCCGCCCCCGCCCCCACGAGCGGTTCCCCCGGGATGGCGGGAACCAGAATTTTGGGAAGATCCTGCAGGACCCCGAAATTCCGGCTCCCGGCTTCGTCGGGTGCCCCGCCCTCGCCCCCACGAGCGGCGACCGCCCGGATGGCAGGAACCGGGATTTTGGAGAGATCGAGGCTATACAGGAGCCCGAAATCCCATTCCCGGCTCTGCCAGGTGCCCCGAGCCCTCGCCCCCACGAGCGGCGACCGCCAGGATGGCGGGAACCGGGATTTTGGAGAGATCGAGCCTGCAAGAGCCCCAGATTTCGGTTCCCAGCTCAATCGGGCGCCCCGCCACCGCTCCCGGCCACGAGCGGCTTCCCCGGGATGGCGGGAACCGGGATTTGGAGAGATCGTACCTGGAAAAGCCCGAAATCCCAGTTCCCAGCTGTGTCCCTCTGTGTCCCTCTGTGCTTCTATGTGTCCCTCTGTGTCCCTCTGTGACCCTCGTGTGTCCCTCTGTGTCCCTCAGCGTCCCTCTGTGTTTCTCTGTGTCCGTCTGTGTCCCTCTGTGTTTCTTTGTGTCCATATGTGTCTCTCTGTGACCCTGTATGTCCCTCTGCGTCCCTGTGTTTCTCTGTGTCCCTCTGTGTCCCTCTGTGTTTCTCTGTGTCCCTCTGTGTCCCTCTGTGTCATCTGTGTCACTCTGCGTGCCCTTTTGTGTCCCTCTGTGTTTCTCAGTGTCCCTCTCTGTCTCTCTGTGTCCTCTGTGTCTCTCTGTGTCCTTCTGTGTCCCTCTGTGCTTCTCTGTGCCCTCCCTCCTCCCTCGTCGTTGTCGTCGTCGGCGCCACCGTCCTTCCTCCTTCTTCGTCGTTCGCGTCGTCGCCGTCCTCCCTCCTCGTCGTTGTCGTCGTTGTCGTCGTTGTCGCCGTCGTCGTCCTTCCTCCTCCCTCGTCGTCGTCTTCGTTGGCGACGTCGTCGTCGTCTTCGTCGTCGTCGGCGTCGGCGTCGTCGTCGTCGTCGAAGTCGTCGGAGACGTCGTCGGTGTCGTCGTAGTCGCCGTCGTCGTCGTCGGCGTCGTTGACGTCGTCGTCGTCGTCGGTATCGTCGTTGTCGTCGTCGGAGTCGTTGGAGACGTCGTCGGTGTCGTCGTAGTCGGTGTCGGCGGCGCCGTCGTCGTCGTCGTCGCTGTCGTCGTCGGCCTCGGTGTCGTGGCCAAGTGTCATGTGGTACGTACCGTCACGGTCTTGTCTAAGAGGTCTTGCGACCAAGTTGCGGGTGGGAGGGTGGGATGTTTGCACGAGCAGTGGAGAGGACAGCTTCAAGACGGAAAGATTAATTGCACAACTGCACCACCGAAATTGCACCACATAGACTGCACAACATAGATTACACAACACAAATTGCACAATCTAGACTGCACAACGTATATTGCACAACACATATTGCGCCGTGTAGATTGCACCACATATTTTGGTCCACCTAGGTTGTACACCACATACTGCTAGTAGCACACTGTGTGGGGTGCACAAGGCTGACAGATATGTACGATGACGACTGGTGATTAGAAACATATGAATGAGAGAGAGAGAGCATAAGAGAGAGAGAGAGAGAGACAGAGGGAGGGTGGCGTGAAGCCACGGCGGCGGCCTGCGACGATGTCAGACTGGGTATCTGGTCGAAGCGGCCCCGCCGGAGCTCCGCTGGCGGCGGGCAGTGGAGAACGGCTTCATCGTCGTCGGCCGTAGGCCGTCGGTGGTCCGTCATGCGTCGTCCTCCTCGTCCTGGTCCCTCCTCCCTCGAGCCTCGTCCCGCGTCCGTCGTCGTTGTCGTCGTCGACATCGTCGTCCGCCTACCGCCGTCCGCCGTCCACGGACCGCCGTCCGCCGTCCGCCGTCCGCCGTCCGCAGTCCGTGTCGTGTCGTGTCGTCGCGCCGTCGTGTCATCCGCGTCGTGTCGTGTCGTCGGGTCGTCGTGTCGTCATGTCGTGCGATCGTACCGTCGTGTCGTCGTGCCGTCTCGTCGTGTCGAGACTGTAGTCGTCGGCGCCCTCTGAAGACACGACGACGACAACGACGACGACGACGACGACCACGACGACGACGACGACGGACGACCACGACGACGACGACGACGACGACGGACGACGACGACGACCACGACGGCCACGACCGACCGACCGACCGACCGAGACGACGACGACGACGACGACGACGACGACGACGACGACGACGACGACGACGACGACGACGACGACGACGACGACGACTACGACACGGACAGACGGACAGACGGACGGACGGACGGACAACGACGACGAACGACGACGATGGACGACAATGAAGCCGACCCTGGAGGTGTCCGAAAGTTGCAGGAGACCCAGAGAGGGCCCGAAGCGCCAAAGGACTTCGATCCTCGATCCTGCTAGACCACTGCCCATCGACCATCGAACTTCGATCCTCATCGGTGCTTGCTCTTCGGTCCTCCTCCATTCTTCGTCCTCGATCCTCCTCGTCCGATCCGCTCGCGGTCTTCGATCCTCGATCCTCCTTCGTTATCCTTCGTCCTCGACCATTCTCGATCCTCCTCGATCCATCCTTCGTCCTGATCCCCCTCGATCCTCCATCCCTCGTCCTCGATCCTCCTCGACCTGATCCTCGCCCCTCCGCCTCGCGGTGAGCGGCGCGCGGCGCGCGGCGCGCCGCGGGCGGCGGCGGCGGCGGTGACGGCGGCCAGCCGCCAGGGAGGCGCCTCTGAGCTCGCCCAGCAGGCTCGCACAGCTCAGGATGGGCTGACGCTCCTCGCCAGGCGGGCGCCCCCGCCGCCACGACCTCCACATCTGCCGTGCCCCATCGAGGTTCTCGTCGCCGCGGCCACGGCGGTGGCGAAGGCGGCGTACTTTCACGAGCGGGGAACAAATCCGTATCCGAACTCGGGGATCTTCTGACCCGGGTCAATCCAGACCCGGGCCAGTCGGGCCTTGCAGGATCCTGCAAGATCCTGCACCCAAACCCGGGTCAATGCGAAGGATCCTGCAGGATCCTGCAGGATCCTGCACCCAAGCCCGGGTCAGTGCGACCCTGGCCGTGCAGGATCCTGCAGGATCGGGCGCTCTGGCTGACCCCCGTTTGAATTGACCCCCGTCTCAAAACATCCGACGAACCCTCGCGGTCTGGATTCCAGATACGTTCCGCACAGGGCGTCCGCGGCAAAAACGCCCCGTGTCCGCGGGATCGCGGCCCAGGGCGGGGCTCGCGAGGCCACGGGCACGGACATGCTTCTCGCACTCGGTGATTGCTCCGCCCATCTAGATCAGCCGAACCATCTCCACAAGCAAAGGGGCCAAGAACAGGAGCTCCTTCGCAGAGGGACCTCGGGCCCCCCATGGACATCCCAAAACCATAAAGAATTCCAAGGCGGAGAGCCCCAAGCACGAAGACCATCAGGCGATCCCTCCAAAGAGAGGGTCATTCTCAACCCTCCTGACAGCTGTGGCCCCGTGTCCTTCGACGCCAGGAACATGGGCCGTTTTCTTCGGTCCAGGCGAGGAGGCCCCCATCGAGGCCAACATCCCTTGGAGGCGCATCCGCGGTGAGCTGCTCGCGGCGCCTGGAGGCATGGGGCATTGGGGGCCCCACCAGAAGATGAGGCAGCATCGAATCGGGAAACCGGGTCGAATCAAAGGTGTACCAAATCGGGTGCGTCGGCACGGAGTCGGAACCGAATCGGATCGGCCGCGCAAGGATGCCCAAAGCGCCATGCGGAGGAGGAGGAGGAGGAGGAGGATGAGGAGGAGGAGGAGGGGAGGAGGGGAGGGGGGCAGGAGGGGGGAGGAGGAGGAGGAGGAGGAGGGAGGAGGAGGAGGAGGAGGACGAGGAATGACTCAAGTCGCGCGCAGCCGTTGCCCGGCAGGGCCCTCCCTCCTCACCCGCTCATCGCCTCTCACCCTTTTCGCCTTCCCCCCAAGCCTCGAGCCGTGGAGGGGGACGTGGAGATGCTGGCTGCCGCCGGGCGGAGCGGGGATCAAGGAATGCAGGACAAGGACGGAGCGCGGCCGCGGCCGCGCTTCCCGGAGCAGCCCAATTTGGCGTTGCACCTGTCGCCGCTGCTGCCCCGGGGAGCGCTGCCGGCGCCGCGCCTGCTGCTGCCGCCGCTGCTGCGTCGCCCGCCGCTGCTGCAGGGCGCCCGCCCAGGGTGCGCGCCTGGATGGCCAGCCGTCAGGCCCCTCGGATGCATGTGGCGGCATGCTGCGCGTGCTGCTCGGGATTCGAGCCAGGGGCGGTGCGCCTTGCAAGCCGGGCGAACCCAGGCGGGCACTTCCGCCACCCAGCCTGCATCGCGGGCGGCGCGCCCCTGGGCTCGGCAGACGGCTTGGCGGCGCTGCCAGAGGAGGCTCGCGGGGAGATCTTCGCTTGCACTGCGCCTCTGCCAGGGGCGGCCCCGCGCGAGGAGGACGACGCGCCCGCCAGCGACGCCCACCCGCGGCACGCGCTGGCAGCGGAAGCGGGCGAGCTCCCGAGGCTGGAGTGGCGGGCCGGCTTCGACGTGAACGGTGCCTTGCGGGAGCCCGTGCCCACGTGGACGGCGACGCCCCCGACCCTCGTCACGGCGGTCGCGGACGTGCTCGCCGCGGCGTTGCGCGCCGTCGCGGCGGGCCCCACGTGCGAGGCGGCGCGGGCCCAGCTGCTCCTGCCCCCGAGACCTCTGTTCGCAGTGCCCCCAGCCAGCGGCAGTGACGAGCGGCCGTCGACCTCGAAGGTGCTGCCGCAGCCGCCTTCGCCAGGCTTAGGCGGGGGGCTGGGCGGCACTGCGGGCCGCGACAGCGCGACCCAGAGAACCAGAACAAGACCGCCCGGGCCAACGTAAGCCGGAGGAGGTGGTTCGATGGGTGCACGAGCTCATCGTGCTCGGGGAGGTGGGCCGCGCGGCTGCGGCGGCCGCCGGGCCTGGCAAGCTGGCGCGCGGGCCCGAGGTGGCCCGCGACCTGGCCGCCCTCTTCCCGGAAGCGACCGCCGGGGCCCGCGCGGCGCCGCCGCCCCTGGCGCACCCCCCGGCGCCCTGGGAGGCTGATGCCGCCGAGGAGGTGGCAGGCAGCCCCGGGAAGTGCCCTCGCCACTCGGGCCCGGGGCCTGTCTGGCGCCCGCTTCGAGCACCGGGCGGCCCTGCATGGACACGAATGGGACTCAGGCGCTCGCGCAGGTCCTCGCCCTCATCCTCGAGGGCCGGGCGCCGGCGCAGGCGAAACAGGCCCTCCTCGCCGGGCGGCTGCTGCCGCTGCCGAAGCCAGGGGGAGGCGCGCGGCCGCTTGCCCGCGGCGAGGCGCTGCGCAGGCTGGCGGCCAAGGCGGCCACGGCGGCTCACAAAGAAGCCATCGCCGCGGCAGCGGGGCGCCACCAATTTGGCGTTGGCCGCGCGAACGGGATCGAGCTGATGCACCGCGTCGTGGCGACCGCGCTGGAGGCAGCGCTCCCCCTGGGCGTCGCCAACGCGTTCAACGAGATCTGCCGGGACACGCCTGGCCCGTGCATAAGCCGTTTTTTCTGTTTTTTGGTTCCTTCCTGATCATGGCCATTCCACCGTGTACACGAGAACATTGGCCACGCGACACGAGAACATTGGCCACGCGGCCACTTGTGCCGCTTACCAAACAAAATTCACAACGGAGTACTTGGCTTATGAAAGACATAAACATGTATCCCTGCAAATATTGGAAACTTGTAAGACGAATGTGCGCCGCGCCAAGACGATACCACCATTTGAAGACGACACCCCTCCATCCGTGTAGCTATTGGAGATGTGATAGCCCCCTTTGTTGAAACGACCTGCGCTCCATCCGTGCAATTGTTGGAAGTCTCAAGTTTTGAGATCGCACAAAAATCTCAAGCCAAACGCCCAGCCCGCCCTAGCGACGCGACAGGGAAGGCTTGTCTATAAGTATATGGGATGGAAGACAACTATAATTATATACGTATATGCGTGAATATGCATAAGTATATGCCCAAAAGGTTACGAGTCTAATATAATAAGTACATAAATAGATTTGCACGTCTAGAAGCAAGCCTATAAGTATACACGTGTGCAGCATACATATCAGCATAATTCACAACGTCTATACGTATGTAAGCATTATATAATTATGTAATCACAATTATAATATGGATCCAAACTTACATAAGTACATGAGTGAATAGCTCTCGCCCGCAGTTTGATACATTTCATCCATCCTCCCTCGTTGCCTCCATCCTCTTTCCTCCTCCTCCTCCTCCTCATCCTCCGCTTCCTCCTCCTCCTCCTCCTCCTCCCCCTTCTCATCTTCCTCCTTTTCTTCCTGTTTTTCCTCCTCCTCCTCCTCCTCCTCCTCCTCCTCCTCCTCCTCCCCCTCCTTTACTGCTATCTACCCCCGCCCCTCCGTCATAGCGGGACGTACACCAACCGTGGACCCACCACTGGTATTGCAAGTACATGCGGGGGTCGGGGTTGCGATTGACATGTGGCCGGCGCCGAGGCGAGAGCACGGGTTCCGAGCGAGCGAGGGTGCCCCTTTTTATTTTGATCGTCGGGGGCACCCGTCTTCCACGCACAGCAGCACCAGGAGCGGCGGCGGCCATTGGGCGCGCGTCCACGGCGCGAAAGTCGTGCCATCCCACGGCACCCACGCGTGCGACGGGTACACTGGGTACCCGCGCGCACGCGCGGGGTAGTACCAGAAAGGAGGGCGATCCATGCCCCATTCCCCCGGCAACTCCACCGACAGCCCAGGCCACGCCCCCCGCAAGCGCCTGGGCGCCTGCGGGGGGACGACGGCCCCCCCCACGTGGGGAAGGGGTACTCGGGGTGCGGCAGGCCAGGGGGCGCGGGGGGAGGCAGACGGTGGGCCACCGCTAGCGCCATCGTCGCGCTCGAGCCTCGGCGAGCGCGGCGAGACAGCGGAAAACGGATGTTAACTTCAAAATCCAATCGGACACCGCTAAGGGTTCACATTAGTTTCCAAACCAACTCGCCGTGTGCCAAACCAGTTGGCCGATGTGATGTCGGCCCCCAGATGTGCCAGCATTGTTTCTTATGTTGTGGGAGGGCGGGTGGGCATGGGCGAGGCCCGATGACTCCCTCGAGTTGGCTAGCTTGATTCCTATTCCTTATTGGTGTATACCTTCACTCTGCCCTTTCCCCGGCGCCAAGACGGCCCTAGGAGGCCTCGAAAAGGCTCCCAAGAGGCCCCCAAGAGCGCCCCAAGAGGGCCCCAAGAGCGCCTCGAAAGTTCCCAAGAGCGTCCCAAGATGGCCCCAAGAGGCGCCAAGACGGCCCCAGAAGGCCTCCAAGAGGCCCCCAAGAGACCCCCAGGAGGCCTCAAGGGGATCCCCGAGGCAGGTCGGGGGTACGCAAAGCGTCCAGGTGGGGATACGCGAAGCATCAAGAATTGGTCCAGGTGGGGATACGCGAAGCGTCAAGAATAGGTGATAACGACGATGCTTCACTTCTCCATCGCAACGCGGGCGTGCCCAGCCCGATGCATGTAATTACACTGTGTCGCACCAGCGTATGACTACACTGCGTCGCACCACGGGTCGGGCGTGCTCTTGTCGAGCTTGCCGACGAGGATGAGGAGTTTGAGCATCAGACGGCCGACTACGGGCACACTCATTGTGTTGCCGATCATTAGGTTGAACTGGCGATCCGTCACCTTGCGGCCCTTCTCCGTGAGCAGACCTTTCCAGTTCAGACGGCCTTTTGGGAAGCCCTGGATAGCCAACATCTCGGTCGTGTCCATCATGCGGGAGTGGCGGGTCAGGTAGTAGCCGC